TATACATTTCACGGTATAAGAGACCTAATTTTACATTATAGACTACAGTTCTATCAACCACCAAAGCATCTAAAGATGGAAACTAGTTAAAGTCATACGCGACGTAGACAGGAATTACAAATGTGGTGTTGGGAAAAGAATGAATGAATGATTACTTACTGTGTTATCATAGTTTTGTTATGAATTCTTGTTCCGGGAAAATCCACTTGCAGAGAGAAGCCTTGACAGGAAACCCCCACCGCTGTTTGTGTTGTCCTTGTCACGAGAATTGCTTAGATTGCTTATGAGAGACCAGTGTGTCTCAAAGTCTGGCTCAAAACCACTCTCTTGCATTTTTTGCATGAGCTCTGATGCCTTCCTGAGATTGTTTTCTGAACGATACCTATTAATTACAGACAAATATATCTGCCTGGTCACTGGTTCGCCTACACAAACCATAGAATTCAAAAGCCGTTCTGCTTCTGCAGTTTGTCCATCCCGACATAAACTGTGAACAAGAATGTCCCAAGTGTTGATGCTTGGCTTGAGATTTCTGTCCAAAATCTCTGTAAGAAAATCCATAGCTTGGTCCAGTTTATTAACCACGCAGCAAAAGCTGATGACAGAATCATAACTGGTAGAGGCCGGAAGATTTCCTTTCTTCAACACTATGTTTAGCAGGTCAACTGCCTTGCTCAGTCTTCCATAAGAGCAAAATCGTTTAATTAGATTATCATAGTTGATATTTTCAGGAACTAGACATTTCTCTACCATCCTGTCAAGAAAACCTTCTGCTTCTTCAAGCTTACCCTGAGAAAGAAGGCCCTCAACAATCGCATTTTGAATGATTGAATCATGAACCCAGCCTCTCAATTCCATTTCTCGACACAACCCCACGGCTTTCTCAAGCTCCCCAATACCACACAAGCTGGTTATAACCATTCTCAAGTTGCGGTTGCTTGGCCTGAAATCCTTGGAGATCATAGTACACAAATGGTCCACAGCACTTGACACATCTTTACACCGAGAAAACCCATAAACAAGAAAATTGTAAGTTACTTCATCGAGCCGCAATTTTTCCTCTTGCAAATGATCTACCACTTTATTGACAAGCAAAGCATTCCCGGTTTGGAAAAGATAGAAAATCATAATATTGTGAATGGTGAGACCATGACACTCACTTTGTCCAATCATGAGCTCCTTCAGACTCAACAAATGAAGAACCCTACCTTCCACACACATCAACCGCACCAAATTGCGGAAAGTTGAGAATGAAATGCTGAAACTGTTCCTTATCATGATACCAAGTAACTCCCTCACTTTCTTTAAGTTGTTAATCTTACAATGACCCTGAACCAGAATATTGTAAACTTCAGCATCCGGATGTAGCCCCTTCAATACCATACTCTGTATTAGAGCGGTTGCTTCGCCAACTTTCCCTGTAATACAACAGCCTTCGAATAATGCACGATCAATGGTAAGTGGAGAATAAGATTTCTCTTTTAGACCAATCTCTTTCAAATAAATGGCTTTTTCATATCTACCAGCCCTACACAACTGAGGAATTAATAGGACTAAAACATCCGAACATGGCACCAAATTTCTAGCCAGCATATTGTCCAGTATCGTAAAAGCTACATGAAACTCTCTCTCCTTACACAATCCCCTTATAAGATACCTATAAGCCATACGATCGAGGATGCCACCACGCTGTTCAAGTTCTTCCAACAATACATGCGCAGTTCTTGTAAAACCTTGAATGGAAAGATTTTCTATGAACATATGACATATATCTAACCTTGAGTGAGGGAAGGATATAAGCATACTTTCAAGAAGCTGCACCGTTTTTGTTATCATTTCTTTCTTGCAAAGGCATTCTATTAAAGATTTACAATCTTTGAACCCTGGCAACCATCTGTCGTGTTGAGCAAAATCCCAACAAACATGCAGCTCCTTCAAGTTTCCTCTCCTGCATAAACCTTTAATTACAGCAGTATACGTCTCGTTATTGATTTTCAGATGCCTTTGGAACATTTCATTCAACATTCTCCACCCATCAGATGTCAATCCTTTCTTGATGTATGCTTGGACAATAAAATTTGGAATTTCTTCGTCGAGCTGATTTACCAAGTGAAGCTTTTTATCCACAATATTGGCAATTCCCTTTATATGCGAAGGGGAAGCAGAGAGCCCTTTCAGCAAGGCAGAGAAGGTAGAAAAAGACAATTCTTGCCCCCATTGAACCATTTCATGAACCAACATCAACGCACACTTAAAATTTCCAAGAGCACATTCTTTCATCGTAAGTGAATTATAGTTGGGTACCAAGCAATCTTCTAGGATCTCGGTGACTCTCTTCTCATACTCACCCAAGTCTGTATCCAAATAAAGTCCATTTCCAAGACTATCATAAAACTCCGTTGTAGAAAACCCCACATCATTATCTCTCTTCAATCTCACAGCTAATGGGTCGAATCCTAAAATTGTAAATGCCTTCGATAGTGGATCCTCTACTGAAGAGTTTTGAACCAATCCGTGGCCTGCCATATCAAAAACTACCCTTTTCGCTTCATCAAATTGTCTAGCTTTACAATAGCCTGCTAAGAGAATTCTGAAAGTCGATAGATTAGGTGTTACCCCTCTATCCACCATCTCGTCAAAAATTTCCCCAGCATGCTTCCACATATCCCCCATAAAGACCCCACTGATAAGAGCATTATAGGTATACTTATGGGGCTTTAGTTGTCTTGCCAACATATTTGACAAGTAAATGAAGGCATTTTTGAGTTTTCGTTCACGACAACTCCAGCCAATCATGATCCCAAAGGTTAACTCATCAGGACTGAAGCCTAAATGTTCTAATTCTCGCATATATAGTTCCGACCTTCCTGTCCCGATACTGCTACATAGAGAATGCATAATCCTATTCCCAGCCAGATCATCAGGTGCACACTTGATTTCGGCATAGAAACTCAACAGATCATCAAAGTCCTTCTTCTCACAATAACCACAAGTAATTTCATACAGAACTGAGTTGCTAGGCCTGAGCTCAAAAGCCATAGCCTTCTTCACAAGATTTCTTGCTTCCTGTATCTTTCCATCCCTGCAAAGCAATCCTATGATTTTCTCAACTGTACCCTCCTTCAAACCTCTCAAATCCACACCCAATTCCACCATATCCCAACAAACTCGAAAAGCCAATTTGGTTTTCTTCATTTTAACTAAATGATCAAGAAAAGCATCATAACACGATAATGAAGGGACTAAATGCCGCCTCATTCGATCATACATCGAAATGGCCCTTTCTGATTCACCAGCATTAACATACCTTTCAAGCAAATCACTGAAAACTTCATTACTACTCAATACAATTTCTTGGTTTTCCATTGTGGAAAGCAAGAATTCAACTTCTCTAAGCAACCCCACTCGAATAAGCATCGAGGCCATGACCACATACGACTCCGAAAAATGCTTAAAACCCTTACTCTGTCCACTAACCCACTTGAAAATCTCCCACAAAGACTCGACCTTTCTAACTTCAAACCCAACTCTCCCACACTGAAACCGAAAACCCAGTAATAATCCGAGCACATCTTCAGGTTTTAGCTCCGAAACCCGCCTAATTCTACGAGCGTATTCGGGCACCACATCATAAATCTCCAAAAGAAGGTCTTTCAGAGAAGCATTGGCAAAGTCTCTGCCTTTGTTCTTGTCAAAAAATTGGGAGCTTCTCGAAAACACAGACTGGGCAATTCCAGAGAAACAAACGGAAGATAAATCTATGTGGGTTTTGTTATCTGGGGTCGGCGGAGATGGCGGCGGTGAAGGGTCCGTGAGACATGAGAATTGGCGGCGAGTAGTCACGAGTGAGAAGAAAGTGTGAAGAGATGGAACCTGGTTGATATAGGGTCTGTGAGGCGAGTGAGAATATAAATGTTGGAGCATCCCATCGCAGAGAGCGGCGGCGGCGGTGGCGGTGGTGGTTCTTCGTCTCATTTATGCATTGCATTGGCCCATAGTGAGGGAATTCTCAGTACCCGTAAGCAGAGTTTAAGAGAAAAGGTAATTAGCGTTTGTGTGGAAGTCGGAACGACAAGAGGGTCGGTCGTTTTGTTTTCTAAGCCATTATATTAGAGGAATTAGTTGTTAAAGGACAAACCTTTTTTCAAAATAGGGAAATCAACACGGCCGACACAAATTTTGATACGAAAATATTTACAAGATCCTATATTGATACAATTTAAAACTTCACAATGAACAATTTTTGATTCAATTTCATCTTCTAAATGCAAAATTCTAATCGGTGATCATGTTGTTTTACGTGAATCATATATTATGGCATATGAGACATTTGCGTTTTGTGTTGATTGCATCAATGATGTTGGTTTTCCTATTTTAGTAAAATGGATTTGTTATTGTCTTGTTAAAGCCAAATTTTCATTATATAAACTAGCAATGTATGCGACATCTTTCACACAAAAGACGACATCTGCATGTAGATCGTGCTTGAGCGTAACTCCTTTTCCCCGATATCATATATGCAAGAGACAAAGATGGAGTAAACTTTTAGCAATTTTGCAAAAATAAGACTAAACGCATCAGCAGTTGGCAGTCTAAAATTATGCAAAGCTTTTCCCGCTCAAGTTCTGGTAGCCATGGATGAGCTTGAAATTAAGAGAAGAAAAAACGATAAATATTTCGCAATTCACATCGGCTTAAGCTTAATTACTGAATTAATTATGATTAATTCGACTTAATTCCTGATACCGTATTCTAGTCAGTAATTTGTATCTGTGACGAATTATGTTTTTCACAACCGTTTGATTGAATTCCTTCAATCCTCACCCTACATTTTTCGTAGCATTATAAGTTATGTAGTATTAATGATTTTTCAAAGAGAAGTGTGACATCACCGTCCAAACCAAACATAACATTTAAAAATTGGACTCAATTCTCAAAATATTGACAAATGTGGCAAACAAAATTTAATCATCAAATTATCGATTATCCACCTAAAGGGTTGACTTGTGGCACTCTTAGAGAACATTAAGGGGCAAGCATTGCCCTTGAGAATTGAGATGCAAGAGGCAACCATAAGAGTAGTTGACCTCAGTTGCTGTTGAACTCTAATCATCCCATCAAAAATTTCAGTTATATCAGCGTTGAAGTTCGTCAAAAAGTGTACGCATTCTCTTATTCCTCATAAGTTCTTAACAAAAAAAAAAGGAAAATGGATCCGAAGTCAAGTGCTTTTGTGATTGGAATAGTTGGTGCTGCAGTGACTCTGTCTGCTTATTCTCAAACTCTCGTCTCTCCAACTCAGTGCATCGGAGTCGGCCTCTTTGTTCTCATGTTTGGGTTGCTGGTCAGGGAAGGTCTCATATCTCTCTAGCTCACTCCATCACTCTGGATAAATTTATTTCGCTTCCCTTTTCGTTTTTGTAATTGAAATTTGCTTGATATGCTTTCTACAATTTATTTTTCTGGGAGATTTGTATGATCTAGAGCTTGTTTAATAGTTGTTATTTGGATTGGTGGGCTTTTGTTATATGTAATCTGTCTGTTTTTTTTTCTTTCTATGTATTATGATGCAAATCAAGGATCATAAGTGCATATGGGAATACTTTCTTGAGAAATTAGTTGTTTTCAATAGATAGCTTTTGATGTTAGAAATGATGTTGATTGAAACTATATAACTAAAATCGATCCGGTACAAATATCAAATTTGATATAAATATGGTGTCATTGAATAGTTAACTCCACTAGATTAATTAAGTGGTTGAACTTTAACTAAATGCATGTACCGATACTAAATGTAGCGACTCGGGATCCCATTTTTTCATAGATTTATGAAATATATGGTATGTATACATATAACACGTTCATGTTATGAGAGCAGTTAATCCAATCCCAACTACCTCACATAACATTGACCAGTTATAATAAGTTACCCGAGTCAAAACGATTGTGCAAAGTTTGCAAGCTAGTCGTCCTGTGTTAATCTGTGATATCCGACCTTGTGAAAATAAAGACAGACATTAGTCTGACAGTAAAGCTAAGCTGTCTAACTTCTGTTTCATGTAGAAAGTTTCAAAACATTACATATATACGAAGCAGACAGCTTCAAGAAACCTTAAATAAAATTAGATGTATCAAGCCGGCGACTCCCATCTGCAAAGTATGCAAAAAGATTAGATGAAGGAATAATGTTTTTCTTTAACTAATACAACCGATATTCTATACTGTAAACTAATCTAATATATAGAGAGAGGCAAATCTAAATTCGAACTCGAGTACATAATGTGGCTAATGCCCAAATCTGTAGATCAAGGAATAATGTTAAGTGCATAAAGAAATAAACGAGATTTCCATAAAAATAGACCAACTAACCCTTCAAATTGAGGTCTATGGCATGAGAACATGCTCCCATGACTACAACTACCGTCACTGCATGCATGATTGTCGAGATCGTGGTTGTTATCGTCGTCATCACAAATCTAGCATGAGAAAAGGAGGCAAAAATGTAGCCAGAGACGACTTGCCGATCAACTCAGTGTCACAAGATCATGTATCTTATCAATCATGCATATACGCATGAGATGACATTAACATACATGATACATCCCATATGTATATGCTATGCACATATACATATATACATATATAGATCTACAAGATTAGGGTTGATATACAAATATTGTATGGGAGCATTGTTGCCGGCAAGTCATCCTTGGCTGCACTGCATACCTCGTTCCCACATGCAAGACTTAAGATGAAAAATACCACATAAGTAGAATAATATGAAGTTCCGATATACAGTGAAGATTGTATGTGTTTGTTTGGCAGCAAAGAGAAAGAGGGCAGACTTTCCCGCAGGGCAACCAATCAAAGTAGAGTTTAACTGCAAGAAACTCAAGAAATGGAGGCAGAAGTTTAGGGTTTTTTCCCAAAGGAGAAAGACAACATTCCCGAGCAGAAAACGGAAACGAAACCCCTCTACTTATTTCAACAAGAAAACAAGCAAATTTCCCAAACAAGAAGCTGTTAGAAACAGGTAGAGAAAAAGAAGCCGATTGGACTACAAAGTCCGCTTGGCAGTGCTTGGACGAATAAGCTTTGAGCCAAGCATACATATAGAGCAAACCCTAGAACTCTACTGTCTTGCAGTTGGCTCGTTGCACGTTTTATGAAATTGGAAAAGCTGCTTTTTCTCTGTATCCAAACAGTCCTTGTATTAATGGTGTCAGATGTTGCACAGTAGTAGAGCAACCCTAGTACTGTCCGACCCGCGTCTTTTGTCCAATAGGATTTGAGCAAAAAAACGAGTAATTTAGAGGGTTCTTAGATTTGGATGTGACTTTGCATGGGTGCATAATCCAAAGAATATCGAAGCCTAAAGATCCATCCCCATCACCCTTCATGGTGCATTATTTCTAGGGAATTGATGTGCTTTTAAATTGGGAACAATATTTGACTACTAAAAAATAAGTAGGAGTTCCTACTCAAATTTTTTAATGTCTTAATCACAGAATTTTGTGCTTATAATCAGAACTGTTCATATTATAAATCACATTGTAAAGATCATCTATGCCAAAAATAAATTAAAGCTAAGGTCGTTTAGTGAATCTATTGTAGAAAATATATAAACGGTTCGTAATACTTTTACATGTATCGTTCATTTGTTTACAAACAGTTTAATGACTAAACAACCTTATTTTTAAGGGAGTTTTAACGAAACACTCACGATATAGTTCATTTTAACGAAAAATGATATTTTTACTCTAAAAAGTCACTCCTAGTACTATTAACTTACAACAAATTTTGTCATTTTGATTAATACTCAAAGTTTTCAAGCTCTTTTCATTAGTTTTTCTTATTTTTAATTTATTTTTTGTAAAGACGATCTTTATAGGATGATTTATAATTTAAATAATTCTAATTACAAACATAAAATTCTATAAATAAACAACGAATAATTTTAAGAAATTTTAAATAAAAATTTCTACTCATCTTTGAATACTCTGTTTTTAAATTAATTGGTATGGCTATCTTCAGAACGTGTACGATCGAGTAGGAATGGGTTGGTGAGGTGAGTTAATTTACTGCATTTGGGAATGCGCCGCATCCCAAGATTCCCAACAAAGTTTTAGGGCTAGGGTTTTTCTTTCACCAATGATATGACACAACTTGATTTCGATTTATCACATGACATCGCATTGGTTTGAGAAGATGCCAACTTTGATTTAGATTTCATGCAAGTCCAAATTGGAATTGGATCCTCTTCGTGGCAACGCTTCGGAATTCTAATGACTGAACAACAATCGTTGAATTTTGATCCAACGATTACAATTATTATAACTGTAGAAGAACATTCATGTTTAATCCAACGGTTCATATTGTCCAATCAGTAGGATGCCGAAGCATTGCCTCGGAGAGGATCCAATTCCGTTCAAATATATATGCATAGATATCTGTCAGATATCCAGATCCCGATATGAGTTCATTATCATAAAACTCAAATTTGGTTTAATGTTCGTAATGTGCAACAAAGTAAGAATTCAAAGTTAAAATTTAACGAATTGGCTGAGAATTGAAATCAAAACTCAAATGTTATATTATACCATCTTTAAAGGAGATGTCAAATCTTAAGTAGAATACCATGTAATCAAATTTGAATGAATGACCAAACTTCAACCGATATGTCAATCCTATATAGATTGACATATGAAACTCATATGTCAAATTTGACATACGAGAGCATCTTCAAAAATGATGTCAAAATATCCAAATTAGCACTAACGATAAAAAAGACACCAACAATATTTTCCAACCAAACAACCAAATCTGATGTGATATAACACGAAATAAAATCTCTTTGCCTCGCTGACAAATTTTACAGCAGCTTCTAATATTTTTTTAATTCATTATTAAATTTGTATCAAATCTCCAACTCTCCTCTCTCACCGGAACCTAGAATCTCAGTCGTCGCTCATCCTCCTTCTTCTTCCCTTTCTAGGAACCAAACCCAGAAACAAACCTAAAACCTCACGATCTTCGCTGCAATCCGGAGAAAGAAAATCCATGGAGTCCATCACCACACCTGCAAACGGAGTTGCAGGCCTAAAGGTAAAATCCGCTCCTCCCTTCTTCGTCGTGGTCTTCAAAGTTGGATTTTTTCTCTGCAATGGAAATTAATTCGTGTTCTTGTCTGTGCACAGGATTCTCTCTCCCGTTCCACAGTTCCTCTCGTCTTTCTCCTTCCCCTCTCCACCCTCTCCACAGTATCTTCGAATCCGGAGATTTCCCGAAAGGAGGGGCTGGGCTTCGTTTCGCATTTAAAAATAAAATGAAAATGAAAAGAAAATGGTGTAATAAAATAATAGTTTAATTTGACATATCAGGTGGAGAACATAACTTAAAAAAATGTTAAAGTGCCACATGGGCCGTCAAATTTAAATTTTATGCTTAAATTTTGATATCTCCTTTGGAGATGCTAGAGAAAACGTGATGTCAAATAATTTTTAATTATTTTATTGTGTAAGTCTCATTAATCACTAATTATAGAACTTGAAAATGTATTTTAATTGCTTTCTTTTTAAAATGGGTTCTACAAATATTATTTATAACAAAAAATATATATCGGTTAGAAAAAAAGAAAAAATCCGATATTGTCACGTCAGCTATCAAATTAACATTTAACATTTATCTTTTGACATCTTCATTAGAGATGCTCTTAGAGATCAAATTTAACTCGCGTGAGCTCCAAATTTTTATTTATTTATTATAAATGCAATATATAGGGAGGGTGAATCAAACTCAGGATCTTAAGTGCATAAAGCAAATGTTATAAACCAATTGAATTACAGTGTCATTGTCGTAAATTACACCTAAAACGAGAATTTCAATTTCAATTTTAACTAGAGATCCGCGAACTACACTTGAAATGAAAATTATATTTGTGTTTTGACCTTCAAAAATGAATTGAAGTTGAGACGTGCCAAATAGTACAATACCTATAGTGTCCCCAACTTAACCACATGTAGCACAAGATACCTAAAGACCTTGGGGCAAGTGGAAGTTGAAAAATTTGTTATAAGTTGTGACTTTTTTTTTTGCGAGATGACTGATGTAAATCTTTTTGCTTTATTTAACACGAACCCGCATATTCAACAATATATAAGACCCAAAAATAACATTTGAGTACAAACTTTCCGCTAAATTGAAGCCTTCAAGTCGAAGTACGTTTCTTTCAGGCCATAACATTGATACAGTTGATTAAACAAGTTTTTACTTTTGCTAAAAGTAATGTCTCAGCGTCACCTTTATGTTCTGCAGATGACCACTAAATTAGACGAGGGTCATCACCTTACGTGCTCATCGGCATTCCTGTCAATTTTTATTCTGTGCAAGTAAAATCGTCATCCAGCTCTTGGTCTAGTGGTACTTTCCGTCTAAACATTGAAAGAGATCCAAAGTTTGCAATAAAAAACACCGGAAAGGCAATTTCTTGATTCCCTTCAGACATTTGTGATAAACACCAAGACGCAGAAAGCAACCAAAGGCTTCAAAACACATCACACCAACTCATAAACAAGAGAAAAACTGCTGAACTACAAAAGCATGACGGGGCCGCGCCCCGACAAGTACACAACCCGCACACATCCCCTTCCCTCCAAAGAGAAAAACAAAATTGCAAAAGTCAATCCCATCCAGAGCCACTAGGTACAAACAATACGCAATAAGTTGCCGATCAGATTATGTACTCAACCAACAGAGGATATATACGCCTGCTTAAATCGTGTTTGCAACAAGCAATTCTTGTATCATGATCATGCCGACGGCATTCATTCATATAACCTGTCAAATGCGTTGTACAAGAGAGATCACATTTAACTATAGCCAGACAGTGACACGACGACCATGCATAACATAATAAATCAACCTACCACTCAGAATCGTCGAGTTTCAACCCCACAACTTTCCGACTAGGCCTTCAAAACTTAGGTCTGAAGCTCCAGCATCCATCGAGTTGGGATGTAACAAACAATTGAAAGAAACTCCAAACTTACCTGAACATGAACATGAACAAAACTGCCAGCAGCAGAACTTGATAGGAACCTTGCACTTAAATTTTGTGTTCAACCAAAAATTTCCCAGGACAGCAAATATTTCGTTGCATGGCATTCAATTTATAAAAATGCAGGCAGGTGTCTAATTAAAGCTCAAACACAAGCGCAAACACCACCAAGCACACAGCTTAAGTAATGGTAGCTACTCTAGAAACAGATCCCTCGAGTCTACTCCAATTCCACTACCCTAGTCGTGTTGAGATTGAGCTTCAATTACACATCCTCGTCATTTTTAAATCAGAACTAGTAGACCCCAAAAACAGTTATGTAGATGGATTTCACAACAGATATCGGAAACCAAAATGTAATATGAAACGATATAGAAGTGAAATCATAAATGCGTGCAGTCAGATGGTACAACAATCTGCTACATCACAAAGTAACCGGTTAAGTTTTCATGATCCACAACATATAAATTCAAACAACAAAGTAATCAAACTACATAGCTGAGAAAACACAAATACAGAGGCAACGTTGAAGTAACATGGCTTCATAATGTCAAAGTGTAACAGGAAAAACAGCAACATGGGCAGGCAAGCTGGTATATGGTTTCTAAGGAAGCTTGGTAATTTTGGTTTCTTGGACTTTTTAAGTAGATTCGTCAAGGTGGGCCATGACTATGTCATATGCTGGTTCGTCTTCTGGTTTAGGCAGACAGTAGGCTGGCTTCAGGCTTCATAGAACTCAGCTGTTTCGATGGGATGGGAAAGGCAAAAGAGGGAAAACAAGAGCATCAGAATTTTATATACAGGGAGATTGGAGAGGTTACGATTATCAAAATACTGGCCAAGGGGTAATGCCAGTTATAATAACAGACATGAAAATCTCAAAAGACAATCATAGTCTACCTGATGGGACCATCATTAAACATAGTTTCTCCTCCGAGAAACAGGGTTCTGGCTAGATAACCTGATATCATAAGCTTCAAATCAGGATTAATGCGTTTTGAGACCGGTATTCGTGGGAAAAAGAAACAGGTTACTTATTTAATAAACCCAACATTAGAAGCCTACTGCGCTCATGAACAAAGCCGGATGACTCCATTCAGAGATATTTTGTCTAAAATTCGTTAAGTGCTACTATGAAGTTCCAGAATTCATATTTTATGGATATCCAACTAGAGGTGTTCTACTGATGGTGAAGTTGTCACCTAACATTAGGGATAAATCTAGCTACTCGATAAACACTCGCAGGAAAGAGCAAAAGAACAAAAAATAAAAGGGAGGCGGGGAGCTGAAATTAAGAAGAGGCAATCCAACTAAGAAAGGACGATGAAAGAAAAGTTTTACCCAGAACTACCACTCCGCCCAGAAGAAAAACTTCCATAGGCTCCGTAAGCACTGCCGCTACCACCAATCTACATATGATATGAAGAAAAAGTGTGAGGGAACAAATGAAAATATTGGTGGTTGCACATAAAGGGTAAATAAACAAAATCAACTGCACTAAATAAAGAATCTATGAAAGATGGCACTAAGTGAAGAAGAAAACCTTTGTAAAGTGAAAACAAGTCACCTTAACTCTTAGAAGAATAGTCAAAAACTATAAAAAGATACCTGTGAACCACCATAACTTCCATAACTGTCATTAGCTGCAAAATCACTTGAGCCACCATAGCCAGCATTATATGAATGCCCACGGCCATGTCTTCTACCATCCCTACTATCATAATTTGGACCATCTGGACCATCTGCTGACACAGGAAGATAAGGCAGAACTGGCAGGAATCCCGACATTCCACCTTCCCGGTCGAAAATGTTTGCTCTTAATCTGGTAACTACTTGTATAAGAGCATCCTTAACAATATCAAGGTCTCCAGAAATCTGTAAAATGAAACCCAAAATTGTCAATATTCATACTAGCTTAATCTAGAAAATCTCTAAATGCATTATCAAAAAGAAAAAAAAATCAAAATGACACAAGAAAATACAATGGTCAGGCACAGCACCGGGAGAAAGGCTTTACCTGCACCATTTCATCATCTTCAGATGCAATTTTGGGAAGATTTTCCTTGGAAAGTATGCGAATATTAGCTTTGGTAAGTCTCCTCATCTCAGTTACAATAGCTCCACCCTTCCCAATTAGGCAGCCAATTCGTGAGGTTGGAACAAGCAGGCGGGTTGTGAATGAGACAATTCCTGAATCTCTTTCTACCTTTTCACTGCATCTGGGTTGCAAACGCACTGCTGCTTCTATAGTTGCTGAGAATGTGTCTTCAAAGAACTGAAATGGTACATGTTAAAAAAAAACAATGATGTAATATCCTCCAACGATACATCTGCATGCAAAAGACAAATGGAGTAGTAATTCACCTCTTTTGCCGATACAGTAATTAGGCAATCATCTCCTTCAGTAGCTGAACTATCAACTTTAATGACAGCCCCAGAATCCTGTCTAATTTGGTTAATTATGGTACCACCCTTTCCAATCACACCTCCAATATTTGCAGTTGGACAAACCAAGCGAATAGAAAATTCTTTTGAGGATGCTTCATCTCTTGGAGCCGAGTACAAGGAGCGTGACCAGTCTCCAACATCACCTTTGTACCCCCCTCCATAAGGACCCATCATTGGAGCAATTCCCATCAGTGGGGGACCACCAGATGGACCCATGAGTGAACCACCAGAATACATAGGCACCGAAGAAGTAAGCAAATGCTGAGATCGTGACGGGTTATCATGTAGGCGAGATGCAATTTGAAAAAGAGCCTTCTTAACAAGCGGAGCTTCCCCAGATATCTGAATCCATTATCAAGAACTTAATAAGCAATATCCAAGTCCCCACAAAACAAATAACTTGCACAAAGTGACTCCAAAGAAAAATTCTCAACAACTGCACGTCTCACAATATAATAGCATGTTCCATCGAAATCTCTAAACAGATAAGAAAATGCAAAGCACTACTCACTTCAGCTAAAAGATGTCAAAATGCTACCAAGAAATTTACCCATTACAGATCAAAAGCGCTAAGAACCCGCATCAAATCACAAATTTAAGACATATCCATACGCAACAAAATGGCAAAGCTCAAAAATTCATTCAATCTACCTGCACAAGCTCATCAGAGTTCAAGGCACAAGAAGGCAAATGGTCTTCCTTGAGAATCCGAATCTGCGCACCGGTTTCACTTCGAATGTTCTGAACAATCTGCCCTCCTTTCCCAATAATGCAACCAATCTGATCAGACGGCACAAGAAGCCGCGCAGTCACATGGTGCCCCCCGCCACCACTACCGTCCGCTTCCTCGTCAATATTATTATGCGTGTCCTCAGCAATCACCCTATCATGGACCTTGAACAAAGCGTCCTGAGCCGGAGCCACATACGTCCCGCCATCTTCGAACCCATTCGTCTCATCGCTCGCACTGTAAATAGTAACCACCCGCTCTTCGCTGCCCGGCACCGTCTCGCCGATTCGAATCTTGGACTTTGTGTCCACCCTCAGCTGCTTCACAATCTCTCCTCCTCTCCCAATTATGCTCCCAATCTTCTTCACCGGGCACAAGTAACGGTAAACGGTGTCCTCCGCATCGATGATGAATTGCTCTCTTTCTTCGCCGGAATTTCTCCTTTTGTTTCCTCCTCCGCCGCCGTTGTCAGCGTACTCCGACTGCGAATGCGAACGTTTTCCGTAACTACTCCTCTGACCTGCCATCGCTATCTGTTTCCCAATCATTCGGTTGAAACAAAATCAGTGCGAAATCCGATTAAAATATAATTTACAACCAAAATTGGTACACAGAAACCCTAAATTGGAGAAGAAAATCGAGTACCTTTAGCACGGAGAGAGATGATGATCGAACTACCAGATTCTGCTGCCTCTGCGATTTGAAATCTTAGATTCAGATTTCTAGGGTTTTGACCGCCCTTGCTCTTCTTTTTTTGTATTACTACCATATAGACTTAGAGGAAGACCCTAAAGCTTGCGAGGAGAATAAAATATTTTGGATGCGCATCTAATTCTTAATATTATTTGATTAAAATTTTAATAGTATTTAAAGTTTAATAAAAGAAATTTGACTTTGTACACCTTATTATATTATTATTAATATTTATATTTTTATAGTTTTGACATTAATTATTTGATATTTTATGAGATTTATAATCATATAAATTTAAAATCCCTCATTATAATTTATAATACTATTAGAAACGGTTACAATAAAAAAATTCAAACATTTTGATTTAATAAATGGATAAAAACTATGTAAAAATAAGAAATAATAAATGACAAAAGAATGTATCCATGGTGTTAAAAAAATTGGTACATTTTACAAAAGAAATAGGTACATTTCACATATAACAAAGTGGTATATTAATAAAGAAGAATGTGTACATTATAAATAAATTAGGGTACAGATAAAAGATTAAAAAATTATGAGTACAAATGATTTATTTAAAAATATAGGTGCTAAAAGAAATTAATACATGGGTACAAAATAAAACTAAAAAGAAAATACTACAAATTTTAAAAAAATGTTGCAAATTAAAAGTGGATACAAACTAAAAATATAAATATATGATACAAAGTTTAGGCATAAAACATAAATATATCATATGTAATTTTTCTATCATTGATTAAATATACAATGTCACGTGACGGTATACACATGGGTACAAACACAAAAAAAACTTTAAAAAAATTGGGCACAAAAAGAAACTAATATATGGGTACAAATAAAAAATGAAAAGAAAATTGGTACAAATTAAAAAATATTTGCAATTTAAAATAGGTACAAACTAAACATAAAAATATATGATAAAAAATTTAGTCATAAATATAAATATACTAATTGTAACATTTTTAACACTATATGAATATATTTAAAAATAATAATATTTTATTATTCAAATAATTAATAATGTTATTAATACCCAAGGACCTTGATCAAAAATTGAAAATGAATATGATTTTAATCAATTGAGTAACAAAAAGAAGGATGTGAACCTAATTTTCCTATAAAATTATAAAACTAAGACCCTTCTCAGTTTTTAAATGTTACGGTTCATTTAATGATATTTGTAATTCATTCTCGCATCAAATTACGTCGATACTTTCATATATTACGGGTAATGTAGGAGACATCTTTATTTTTCTCAGAGAAATCCTTAGAATTACCACTAGCTTTCAATTCACTTCTGACCATCAAATGAAATGTGAATAACCTGTCCTCCTCTTTGGGCGCTTCTGGTTTTGTAGGTGCTTGAAACAATTTTTGTTTTCTCCATATTACTATATCTCTAGGGTCAATACTTATATATGAGGAACTACTGAACTCAATCACTTGCTACGGTTACTAGATTATGTATTATTAAAAAAAAAATTTTAATACAGGTGTGACTTCAATAGTAATTATCATTTGCACATAACAAATATATTGCTAGACCAATAATTAGCGAATATAAAGTATAAAACTAAGCTTGTATATCAAATTAAAGCATAGTTTGTAACGAATGTTATCACATGATCACATCCTACTACATTTTATGCGATTGTATATTTCTAAATCTACATATAATTTAATACTCATTTTTTCTAGTATAGATAATATCGTTTGTAAAAACAAAAAAAAAAACTCATTTTGCTTTAGTTTCCTAATTAGGAAATTAATATCCACTCAATATAAACAACCTACGCACGTATTTATGAGTAGTTAGTGATAAATAGCAATTATCTCCCAAACAAGAAAAACTTGTGTGGGGCTTTACTTGCCACTGGATTTTGTTAAATGACACTACAATCCAATGATGTATATTTTTTTCTTCCTAAATTTTCCCTCTGGTACGTTTATGTTTTACTGTAGAAGTCTTCAGTTTCTTCTCTCTCCCACTTCTGCCATCATGTTAAAGATGGATAATCAACCAAAATAGTTGTACTTCAACCAAAATAAACTAAGGAAGAAAAATGAGAGAGAATGAGAAGAGGAAAAAAATGAAAAAATGAACAGACAAATTTTGTTAAACATCAAGTATGTGTTAGGATATATATATATATATATATATATATTATCATATTTTCATTTCATTATGGATGGAGAAGATAGTTTAATTTTTTTTCACCATTATTTACTCTTATGAAGGAAGGAAAGGCAGAGTGGGGAAGAAGCGGGCAGATAAAATTTGGGAATAAAAAGGGGAGACAGAGGAGATCAGAGGAAAAATGAAATATTAAATTAATCTTATGGTGTATATCAATTAATAGGAAATATAATTATGAGAGTTTTAAATATTGAAGAAAAAAATAAATATTTAAGACTTACCATGTAACAAGTTTTGATTGGATATAGTGCCACTCAGCAAAGTCCAATGACAAGCAAAGCTCCACACAAGTTTTTCTCCTCCCAAACCATATAAACATTTACTTTTCTCTCATAAAATCAAAACATTTACTTTTTAAGAAAAAGTAATATAAGTAGACCTGTTTTTTAAATCACATTTGGAAACCATAAAAAATAAACATATGAATTAACACTGAATGATTTAATAATTAGCAATCATATCATAGAAGAGTAAATTGTAGCAATAGTCCTTTAACTTTAACTCAATTAGAGCAATGATCTCTTAACTAAAAATCCATTACCATTGGTCCCTCAACTCATCAAAAAGTACAACTATGGTATCTGAACTAAAAATCATTACAATTGTTTCCTCAACTTTAATCCAACTAGAGAATTAGCCCCTGAACTTTAACTCAATTGGAGCAATAGTCCATCAACTTTAACCCAATTGTAGCAATGTTTTTTTCAACATAACTCATTTTAACAAAATTCTAACGAAGTTGACGAAAATGACTATATAGCTACACGTTTTGATTAGTTAAGGAACCCCAATTGTAGCAATGGTCATTCCAACATAACTTATTTTGACAAAATTCTAACGAAGTTGACGAAAATGATTATAACTACACATTTTGATGAGTTAAGAAACTAATGATAATGAATTTTTAGTTGAATAACCATTACTCTAATTTGATTAAAATTAAAAAATCATTGTTACAATTTACCCATGGTATAATTCACAAAATATAATTTAAATAAATAGTAACGTAGCGTTACCTAACAAAAAAACCCCTCCACCAAGCAAAAACGGCGTTCGCGAGGACATGACGCGCGTCGCAGACATATTTACCCTCGTCTCTTATCGATAAAAATCCTCCCACCAGACGTCCCCAGTTCCCACCCAATCCGACCCAAACCCACAATTTTCACGGTCAAATCTCCCACACTTTCTCGACGGCCAAACACCACAATCGCTCTCGCTCTCTCCCCAAACCCTAACCCCCAATCCAACTTGGTCCACCCTTTCTATGCCCTATGTCGACATCGGGTACGCCGCAGTTCCGGTACACGCAGACGCCGTCGAAGGTGCTCCACCTCCGCAATCTCCCGTGGGAGTGCGCCGAGGAGGAGCTCATCGAGCTCTGCAAACCTTTCGGCAAGATCGTCAACACCAAGTGTAATGTCGGCGCCAATCGCAATCAGGCCTTCGTCGAATTCGTATGCTCCTTCTCACCTTTCTCCGTTCTGATTTCAGTATTGTATTTTCTTTATTAATAAATTCATTAAATTTTCCAGATTTTATGATATTTCGCTTTGGAATTTTCAGTTAGCTGCGTAATTATGCGAGTATACTTATTTCTTGTAAGGATTTAATACAAGCCATTAATTTTTTTATAAATTTACTAAAAATTTCCAGAAATTATGATATATGGCTTCAGGGTTATCCAGTTAGCTGCCTAATATGTATGAATGTTCTTATTTCTTGCAAGGATTTTATGGTATATATTTCGCATCGCTCAATGTTTATATGTTGATGAATGTGATTATTAATTTTGCAGGCAGACCTAAACCAGGCCATAAATATGGTTTCGTATTATGCTTCATCCTCGGAGCCTGCCCAGGTCCGTGGTAAAACCGTTTACATTCAGTATTCAAATAGACATGAAATTGTCAACAACAAAAGTCCGGGAGACGTACCCGGAAATGTCTTGTTGGTAACCATCGAGGGTGTTGAAGCCGGCGATGTGAGCATTGATGTTATTCACTTGGTAAGTGTATTTTGGCCAACATTTGAGCATATCTTATAATATATTTGCAAACCTTGTTTCAACCTGCCTGGTACATGTCTAGAGATCATGAAATGCCGAGTTGTTTTCTAAGTCATGGGTTTCTGGATAAACATTTACGTTTAATTTACGTAAAGCAGAATTTTTTTTTTTTGCCCCTTTTATTGAAATCAGTTGAATCACAGATGGTTATGCCTCTTATTTAAATTCTTTTGTTGGAAGCAGTTTGGAATTATTATCATGTACGTCATACTCCTTACTAAGGTCACGCATATATGCACAGGTGTCATTCTGCACTTATAACTCATCTGTTTGGATTTTTTTTGCTGCCCATAGTATTTTCATCGTGGAGGGTTTCTGCTGTTGTCTTGTTTCCTTTCAGTATCAATGTAATACATGTATGATGAACCGAACCATTTTTCAGGTGTTCTCTGCTTTTGGCTTTGTTCACAAGATTGCCACTTTTGAAAAAGCAGCTGGCTTCCAGGTTTGTATTGGATGATCTTTCTTAGTTTTGCATATGACTTGTATTCGAGATGCTTTGTGCTTCATTCTTATTCTCTCATTTTAATTTTGCAGGCATTGATTCAGTTCAGTGATGCTGGCACTGCATCTATGGCAAGGAATGCGTTGGATGGAAGAAGCATACCCAGGCAAGCAATCTCCATATGCTCCCTCTTCCCACCATCATTTTTCTCATAGAGATCAGTACATCTGGAATAGTGTGATTGTTGCTAATTTTGGCATGTAATGCTTTGCATTCAGGTACTTGCTTCCAGAGCATGTCGGTTCCTGCCACTTACGTATTTCTTATTCGGCACACACTGATCTGAACATCAAGTTCCAGTCTCACCGAAGCAGGTAAGAAACAGAACCAGCAGGTCAATAATCTTTCTTTTTTTCTTGCTGGCTTCATTTTTCTGTCTCTGATTGTGTCTATTTCTACACTCTTTAGTTGATTTTATTGTGTGTAAAATCAAATGCTAATTGGTGTGTGTGCCTTTTGTCATCTAGGGATTAGTGAAGCCTGGTAGCCAGAACACAGATGTGTTTGTCATGTCCATTTAGTAATTCCTTGATCTTACATGTTGGCCTTTATGTATTTGTTAATTTCATTGTAGTTAGTGTTGCTCATTTAATATTGTGGGAAATGTTCTCTTCTGCCTTGATCTTACACGATCACACTCTTTTTCTTTTCCAACACATTTTTCTTGTTGGGATGGCTTCGTGTCAGTGTCTTGTATCTGCCACATATTCCTCTTTATACTAAATGATCGCTTCTCATTCTACAATTAGAAAGTATCTGTAATGTATTTTAGAGAACCCGACTTGTCTACTAATGAGAGTTAAAAACTGACTTAATCGTTCCAGTATTTAATGAATTTAATAGTACATCTAAAAGTTGAGGACAACAAGGTGATTAAACAACACTGCCACTAATCATCAAACTTCACCGAACATCATCTTTCTAGCTTTTTTGGCTGTCTTATTATGGTGTTAATGCCTTGCCTTTATCATTTAATCATGGCCATTCTTAATAAGCGTTCTTCAATTTTTTTTGTAAAACGATATCTACCTTTTTGTTTGGGCTTCAAATGGCTTTACGGACATGTTTCTACTTTGAGGCAGTTTTTTACACTCTCACATCAGTTCACATGTGTAGTTTTGGCTTAATTTGTATGATTTTTGTTGCATTGATCCTGTAGGGACTATACAAATCCGCTCCTTCCTGTAAATCCTACTGCAATAGAGGGAATTATGCAGGTATCTTCTTGCTTTTAGAATATTTACTTAAACATATATTATGTAGTATTGGATATTACTACCGAAGCCCAACATTGCTCTAATTTGCTGCTATCTCCAGCCTACTGTAGGTCCTGATGGAAAGAAGAAAGAGCTGGAGAGTAACGTGCTTCTTGCTTCAATTGAAAATATGCAATATGCTGTCACAGTGGATGTTATTCACACGGTTAGGGTTTTCACCTTTCATGTATTTTTAAGTGCTCAATTTACTAAGAGGAGTTGTAGATATCATGATCCTTTCTTATATGCTACAGGTGTTCTCTGCGTTTGGCACTGTCCAAAAAATTGCTATATTCGAGAAGAATGGTCAAACACAAGCATTAGTTCAATACCCTGGTATGTCCTCTTTCAATACGACTCTTTGATTTGTCACTGATCTTTGAGAATTCGGCTGTGGCTAACTTGTAAGTTGTTATTCTCAGATCTCAATACAGCAGCAGTTGCCAGAGAAGCTCTAGAGGGACACTGCATTTATGATGGTGGCTATTGTAAGCTTCATCTATCATACTCTCGTCATACTGATCTCAATGTAAAGGTATAAATGTGAGTTTTTGAGTTAAACTGTTCATGAGAATAAAAATAAGGAAATTGTAAAGACATCCTTAGAAGAAAAAGCGGATTTGTTATTGGTCGAAAAACGATTTGGTCCTTAAATGTATGCTTCTTGACACTTACCTTTCCATCTGATTATCTCAATGCATTCCCAAAATATCTTTCCTGAGATTTTGATTGCTTGTATTTATTCTTACTTGCAGGCGTATAGCGACAAAAGTAGAGACTATACGATCCCAGATGCTAGTTTGCTTGCGGCGCAACAAGTTTCTGGTTACACTCCTCCTCCTCCTGGTGCTTGGCAGAATCCTCAAGCTGCTCCAATGTACCAAGGCAATGAGTACAGTGGTGCAGCTTCTGTGCAGGCCCAAGCTCCTCCAGGTCCTCCAGGACAACCCTCATCATGGGATCCAGCCATGCAGGCAGGCAGATCAACGTTTGTTTCGGCTCCTAGCACCTTTCCCGGTCAAACATACCAGGCATCATCCGGTCCTGTATATTACTCTGCAGCAATGCCAGCGGGTTCTTCGCCTCTCCAATCAGGTCCAACTGCTTCAGGTATGGGTTCTAGGGGAATGCCTCAGCCAGGGGTTCCACCCAATGCGCGACCTGGTGGTGGTGCTTCATCTCCAGGGGTTCGGCCTCCTGGTGCCTCACCATCGTACTACGGCCAATAGGACGTAGTGTTTTGTTTTCTTTAAACGAATGGTGGGTATTGCCGGGCTCATCTTTTGTGTATTTTTGTTGTTGTTGGGAATGCGTCCGACCCCAAATTCGATTTGCAGTGTCTGAAACTCAGCACTGCCCTGCTTTGATTGGAACCTGTTCTTTTGGTTTTAGTTTGAATATCCCATATATATTCTGTTGTTTCTGAAGTACATTTTTGTATCCACACCTTCAATTTGAAGTCCCGGGAACCTGAGAACGGTTTCAATATGCTTAACAATAATTCGATGTCCCGTTAACTTATTCTTGGGATTCTGCTGTGACGGTTTTCTTAGTGAATCATGCATTGTCTTGTGTTTTAATCTTCAGCATGATGGTGCATGATTCGTTTGGACCGCAACGCTGACATCCTGTGCTGCTGTGGGCCAGTAGCATACGATTTTCACTATTTCCACGAACCGTATGGAGAATTCAACCACCAAGTAAATTCCAAAAGCCTGTAATGTAAGGTCAATTACTTGGTTGGCCTACTTCATTTAAAACAAGAGAGTTGTGCAGGCTTGTGGTTCAACACAACACGAACAACTTTCTCACAGTACCAGTGGGTCCGCACCTGAAGTTGATCAAACTCTGTGATCAAACCCCAATGGCGGAGAAAAACTTGAGTGCAACCGAGCGTCTATTCCTTGTGCCCATCTTTCTTCGAGCGAGGAGCATAAAGTAACGTACACTGATTGCGCCTAAGATTTTGCCTCGATGGTGACTGGAGAGCTCGAGAGCTGTCGGATCTCAAACATCCCAATGTGAACCTGTCTCAAGATAATCTAGTTGAATAGTCAACAAGATTGAACTCTTTGCTCAAATTCTAATGCTGCAAAACATCATAGTATATCACCACATGAGTACACTTGCTATACAATATATTCAAAGAATCTGTCTGGTAACTGGTTGTATATCGTTTTGTGCCTAAACTCTCGGAATGATTAGCTTCGATCTTACCGTTGTTTTTTCGTTGATTGTAATTTTTGTCAGTCTTGCCATTAATCAAAAATCGAAGTTTGTGCGTTTCATCTTCATACATGGAAGTCATTTTCTTTCGTTGCATTTTTAAGGAACATGGCAAATCTTTACTTAATAGTTAATACTTCTGTAGAGTTACTTGTAATTAGTATATTGCAAATTGTAAATCCCCATAGCTTTAAAATTGAAGTGCATAAATCACTACCATAGTATTATAAATGTTTAATCAATCAGTAGTGAAAAGTTTTAAGAATAAGTCATACATCAAAGGAAAGACCCACAGCTTTAAAATTTTACGTACCACTTAAGCATCCAGATGCTGTCAATTAGTTGGTTTGTCCTTGCAATTTCATACAAGCTCCACCAAAATCAACTCAAATAATTAAGTTATTTCACATATATACAGATGTGACATTCTGGTCTTGTTAATTTACTATGCAGCATTGGCTAAAAATATGGTTCCTCCATGTGGGTTGGTGATGTTGTACCGCTTGCCAAGTTAAAAGTTTACCAGAAATCTATTATCAAAAGTTAACTAAATATTCATTGAGATTTTTTTATCTTTTAGTCAAAATAGTTTCTAGGATTGTAATAACTCTTCAATTTAGTTTCTGAGATTTAAAATTGATAGAAGTGGTCCATAAGATTGTCTAATGTCAATCATTTTGGTCCTATAAAAAATTTCTGTTAAATTGAAGAAACCACCAGTTTAATTGGAGGGGTTGATTTGACAAGAATACCATCAAATTGACGGAGTTTTTCACAGAATTACCAAAATGATTGATGATGTACAATCTTAGGGACAATTTTTAGCGATTTTCAATCAGAGACCAAAGTGAGGAGATATGTCAATCTCAAAGATCATTTTGGCTAAAAAAAACCTTTTTTTTTTTAAATCAACTGGGAGGGGAGTCCGAACTTAGAAAGCTTTGAACATTAGAAAGAGAAGGTAGACCGAGAACTATATATATAGTTGGTCAAAAGTCATACCCTTGTTATGGTCACAATAAACTTGAGCATGATCAAGAAATTGATTAATTACATGTTTACTTATTAGTAATGACGGAGTAAGAAATTGAAAACTTAGTAATAACGGGAAGTAAAGAATGAGAATCAGATCAATTACCTCATTGTAAATCCAATTCTTAGAACTAACAAAACATACAAATAATAAGCTCCAAATTAGTAGTGTGGTAATTTACCTTTTTGGTGATGTAAATGAAGGACAATGAAGGAGATAGAACATACACGTTTTGCGCTTATTACTCGATTTCACCTAGGCAATCCATATGTCATATGCCCGGTCGGAGGCAGACACAAGATTAATTAACTAGAGCCACGAACTTTCTGGATATATTTAGCTGTGCATTGGAGATTTGGAGGTTAATATCTAACTATGACATGGTCTAATATAGTCTAACGGTTTCTGGTCGAACTTGATTATACATTATACTACTCTTTGATTTTGTTGATATATATACCGTTAAATCAGCATGTATGGTCTAACTTAATGGCTTAATTTAGGAGTGTAATCTAGGGTCTGATGCAGATGTTTGTGCTATATATTAATGGAGAAGTGTAATCTTACCATTCAGAAAATGTATATACATCAGTATCTGTAATTCTGTTGTTCATGTGTCACATGAGGTGAAAGATATACACATCGTGACATGCAAATTAGGGTTTGTCTCTTTCTCTGTATTCAACATATGTGTTTAATGTATTAACTGTTATGTGAGAAGAGATAGACGTTTATGTACAACACTTGATGGTAGGGTTTCTATCGTGTTGCTGCACATGCATATGTATTACACGTTACGTCACATTCAATAGGTACTCATCAAATTAATGATGGAGAATTGCCATCACATGGCTTTCGAAACGCAAATGCATGTGATCGAGAAGTATATATGCACGGATAACGGAAGCATGCACCATCTGCATCAAACCCTAGCAACAATTTATTGTCCATTATATCATCATCAGTCGCAAATATTGGCCATATTGATTTCAAATGTTTGTGAGTTCAGTTATGGTGAAAATGATGCATACTAACACTTGGGGTTGGGTGATTGATTAGGCCACTGTCTGGTAGGCTTAGCTTAATTTGCAAAACTGTTCAACATGGCTCAGAAAGCAAGTGTCCAAATATCCAGAAAAGCAAGCTCCTCATATAATATATATATATATATATGTGTGTGTGTGTGTGTGTGTGTGTGATGCAGAGTGAGTGAGTGAGTGGTGCATACATACGCTAACATCTGTCTTCCGACATGTGCAATTGGTGAAAACCTTGGCCTCTGCGTTGTTGACCATGAAGACCAATCTAAACCACTTCCAATCACACAGTTTACACAAATAAAAGAATAGCTTCAGTTGATTTTTACTAGGGAATGAGCACAAATAGGACTGAAGGTGCACTAAACGAAGGATAAAAGAGCACTAAATCTTGAAATTTATATACGATTTGTTGTTTGTTTAGTGTATATACTGCAGACTTACATATATTAAGTCATAGCCAAGTCGATCTATGCATATTAAACCCTAATTCTTTGTTTTGGAACAATTAGCGTCATGATATATATTATCTAATGATAATAAGGGCGTTGGTGTAGATCGATCACTGAGACGAGAAAATTGAAAGCATTAAGGCCCACAAAATTTCCTGCAAAGATCCGCTGTTTTCACCTCGACTAGACAAGATTTCTATTCTTTACGAACTTGACATCAAATCCAGACGCAGATGCAGAATAAAGTTTCTGGACATAAAGATAAAACCCACATGCATGACCACTTAATTTGCAAAATGGTTGTTTCTATTACACACCACCATATGTATTGGGCAAGGTTACCCCCATAGCTTTAAAGTCACTCACTCTATATCTATATATAGTTTGGCTTGTAATAAAATGGTATGTATCTTTCCCATACACCATGAGAGATTCATAGCTATGGGGTTGTATATCTTCTTGTTTTTAACTCTTTTTACATGGCCTGTTCATGTGATGGCAGGTTCATGTGATGAAAGGAATAGATCCGATAAACTATATAACCAGTTAAAAAAAAAAGATAATAAACATGAAACATTTAATTTAATTATACATGTGCTGTTGTTAACCCATTGGTCTGGAATGAACGGAATTTATCAGCCAAAAAAACTACAGCAAGGTGCACTTTGTTGCAAATGAAAACATTCAAGCCCTAGCTACTTGCAGTCTTCACAGGCAGTAGTACAAAAAGATGGAAATTACCTGCAACTACATGAACTGATTTCAATAAATTTGGAGTTTGGAGAGGAAATTCCACGTGGCAGGTAAATTAAGTGTAAATGTGAGTAGCTCCTAAAAATTTACCATCTTCAGTACCTTGTCTTCAGGACCAGATTATTTTACTATTGGAGGATAAAATTTTGAGCAGGTAAGAGGAGTGTCCAACAACGTATTTGTAGGGTATCTCTCACAAAGCATACCCCCATGCATTTAGTTCTGTATCGAACTCCATACTAGTCCTAGCCGTTATGAGAATTGCCCTAAAATTACTAGCTCTATCGAAATTTCTCTCCTATCTTGTTACTATGGGGGGTTGAGCCAAAATTACTCTCTGCCACTGCCACACATTGGTTTCACTACGGCAATTGCCAAATGGTGGAAATTAACTTGAAAACCACGCGGTTTGAACCCTAAAAACCGCTCTCTCAGTCCCCAAAAACTGCATTTATTGATTCTACAAACAACAGATATCGTGAGTCCCCAAAACCACTTAGCAGCATGCAGGGTCCCAACAGCTTTAAAATTGTCAAGAGATTTTTCAGTGTGGCCGTCACATAAGATGGTACACTTTGTGTCTCTATATAAATAGTGAGTTATGTATGTTAAAAGGTTAATAACTTAAAAATTATAATTTTCCACCACTTGCATAAAAACATGTGGTGTACAATCCGTGTTCCCGTCACAACTAAAAATTTCTCAAAATTGTCAGCTATTGTCATTTCAGGTGTGATGTTGACTGACTTCTATTTATTCTTCTTCAAAAACTATCAGACCCCCCCTCCCTTCCTCTTCATTTCCTCACTACTTCATCCTTTCAAACTTCATCATATCATAATTTCCTCTTTGTAATAATTCTCTCTTTCCTCTTTCTCCCATAACTTCCTTTTCTCATAAATAATACAGTAGTGTACTATTTACTACTAGCTAGTTTTCTTATATAAATATTAGTAACATTAATGCTAGAAGAGTTCATAACTTCGTACCCTCCTTTTTGTGCAGGAAAATGGCTTCCTTGGGGATTCTTGTAATTGGGTTTCTCTCACTTGTCTCTTCTGTTAATGGCTACTATGGAGGTTGGTCCAATGCTCATGCAACCTTTTATGGAGGTGGTGATGCTTCTGGCACAATGGGTATGCCTCGCTCTATGATTTTGATTTAATCAACCGAACGGTTATTAGCACTATAAAATATTCATAACGTACTCCTTCATTCGTCACTTATTTTCATTAGACAAAACTGCATGATGACTATTTTGGAGTGTCAATAACAGCAGCTCTGTCTAATCACTTATGGTAAAAGTAATACTTTTCTTCTATTTCTACTCTACTTATTTGGGCAAGCAATTAATGTTATAGGAGGGGCTTGTGGATATGGGAACCTATACAGCCAGGGCTATGGGACTAACACAGCAGCTCTAAGCACTGCACTGTTCAACAATGGCTTGACCTGTGGGGCATGCTATCAGATCAGGTGTGTGAATGATCCTCAGTGGTGCCTCCCTGGCTCCATCATAGTCACTGCCACAAACTTCTGCCCACCAGGTGGCTGGTGCGACCCTCCCCAGCAACACTTTGATCTCTCTCAGCCTGTCTTCCTCCGCATTGCTCAATACAAAGCCGGGGTTGTCCCAGTTTCCTACAGAAGGTAAATTAAATCTTACACATGCATAATGCAGCAAAGTTTAGGGTTCTATCACAAAATGTCTAGCTGTTATTAGTTGTGGAACCACTTATTATTACTATATTTTAATTTGTCAAGTTTCCGACTTGTTTTTCCGATGTGTTTTGTAGGGTTAGATGCAGGAGAAGAGGAGGCATAAGGTTCACAGTCAATGGACACTCTTACTTCAACTTAGTCCTTGTGACAAACGTTGGTGGTGCTGGTGATGTGCAATCTGTGGCCATCAAGGGCTCGAGGACTCGGTGGCAAGCAATGTCAAGAAACTGGGGCCAAAACTGGCAGAGCAATTCTTACCTCAATGGACAAAGCCTCTCCTTTCTTGTGACCACCAGTGATGGCCGCAGACTGGTTTCTTACAATGTTGCCCCTCCTAATTGGTCATTTGGTCAGACATATACCGGGAGACAGTTTCTCTATTAGTTAATTATATATCTCTCTGTGTATGGTTAGAAAAGCTTGTTTTACTATTCCAGTTTGTTTAGCTACATGTGGTAAAATGTAAGGGTAAAAGATGAAAAAGGTTTGCTTATTATAAGGTAAAAAATGAAAAGGGTTTGCTTCAAAGTGAGTGACCTTTTTCATTTGATTATAGATTTGTGAGTTTTTGCAGGTCATGGCTGGAATTATGCTGAAGCCTCATGGCCATATCTGCTAGAGTGAGAGAGAGTGAGAGAAAGAGAGATCTAGCTAGAGAGAGAATCTGTATGTAAGGCAGTCTGGTAGTGGAAATTTACCACCCGCTGTTAATTCATGAAGTTATGAATAATAAATAGAAGGGTTTTTTTTTTTTTAAGAATTACTACCAGATTAGCAAATGTAATAAACTTGGGCTGTCTATTGTGCGGCTTTTAATTTCATTCGAAGCCGATATTAATCTAAACTACTCTAATACATGGATGAACTTCAAACTGTGTAAAAAGAGCATGGACACTGTTCTGACGAATTGACCTAGTCAAGATCTACAATTACATTCAAGATTATAACCGAGTGTAAAAGATGGAGCCTACTTTGTCTGAAAGAAAAAATCTTAACTTATGCCTCGAAAAAAGAAGGAAAACCCCAAAAGAGAGTACGTATATTTTGTCATGTATCATCCATTTTAGTGCAGATAGTGAACCATTGTGGAGCTGTTTGCTCTTGTAATTATCAGAGTGAAGACAAACGCTCAACTGTTAAAAACAAAAACAACAGAAAGTACGAATGGAATAGAACATGGTGTCTCCAATCTCCATTCATTCATTGAGTGGTTGAAAAGTGCTTTATGGGATAGAAGATTTTAACTCAGCTAGGTAAAAGTGAGGAATGTTTTTGGTGCAACAGATATGGAAAGCAGAGGCACCGACACTATAACACGTTAACGGAGCCAGTGCTCAAATAAGATCGGGTTAGGGTTTCAAATGATTGCTGCAATTAATCTCTATTGGACTTCTGATTACATTTTTGTATTTGGTCCTAAAGGTAGGTAAAAGTGAGGACTTCTGATTACAATTAATCTCTATGGAACTTCTGATCTAATACAAAAGGTAGACTCTTGGCTGTCCTCTCCTTATACTTTTCACCACGTGACGTTTATATCATGAGAGGGAAATATATGTCGGTTGTATGCTAATTTCTTAAATATATTGTATAGTGTTAATTTTAAACAATATATCTCCGATTGTATGCTAGGATTCCCAAATATGCGGTTTTATGCTTTACTCTGAACACCTTCATTTTTCTCGTAATTGCACTGGTAAGTTGTATCACATCAAAGTCACAACCACATTGACATCTAGGCAAGCTGTGTGCAGAATGCAGATACCAAACTGGGATGCAAATTATCAAGTCAGGACAACCACATTTGACATATAGCTCGAATCTTTTGGAATTTTTGGTGCTTGCAATTTTATAAAGTCCAAGGAAAAACACTTATCCCGTGACTTGTGGGAGATAGAACCGGTTACGCGGCAGATTTTCTCACCGCATTAGCTGTGGCGATTTTAGACTTAGATTTGGGGCAACTACCTGATTCGATTTGGAGTGCATTGATGATTTAGTTTGTAGGTCCTTATGGACTTATGGTGCGTGATAGTAAAAGGGCACCTAATGTTTCATCGAACTCTGTGAGCCAGCTCACCAGCTGGTTGGTTGCATGACATGTATGGCCATCTAGATCACAAAACCGATATTGTTCAACTGTTCATCAATGCCAGCAACATGCAAGTCCCAGAAATGCTAGACCTAACTGTGCGTTGTGATCGGATCTGACTATTCATGCTTATAAAATCATAAAATAACAACGTCCAAAGCCGACTCACACGAGCATGCGCAGCTGATCTAATACTTTCCCATTCAACACACCTAATGGCCCTTATTTTAAGAAGAAAACTAACAAAAAGTACAAAAATAAAAACTTTAGTTTTAATGAAAAATGACAAATAAATGTGTAGTGAATAGTATCAAGAAAAAGTAAAAACTCCTTATTTTAAGTAGAGTGGACTGATTTTTTCAAAGACTTGTTGGTTCGGGCTTGATCTTTGACTCAAGTGTAGGAGGGATTTTCGGTGTATCCCAAATACATAGTAGTACACCAATGTCATTATACAAGTGGAGGATACTTGAAAATAAATTTTTTTTCTCCAATTATATAATGACATATGATGTACCACCCGTGTCTAGGCGTACTAAAAAATTTCTCCAAGTTTAGGGGTACTCTTAAGTACAACTAGCGGTATATTCCTTTACGGGCATCTCTCGAATAAATACTACATGTAACTCGTGATGGGAGAAATATTACTAAAAAATTGTTGTTTTCACACATTTTTTTAGTTTCTCATACACTTCTATTTATTTCTAACCATTGAATTGAATAAATCAAACAAAATCAAATAACTGGATTAAACAGGGGACCCCTTGTGTTGGGGTATTTCATGGGTCCAATTTGATCAACCTTAATACATGAGGTCTACTTGATTGTAAGTGGAGTACAGAAGACGTGATCTTCTGGATCGATACAAGTACAAACATAGGGGGCTTTAAGCCCATAAAATGGTGGTATACTCTTACAAATTCATAGCCCAACCCAATATTAGCAAAACAAAACGAAGCAAAAGCAGAATCCAATAAAACTGAATCCAACGGCGACAAAACTTGGATGCAGAGCTTCATAGCAGCAATGCCCAATCTAAAACTCTCAAGAAACTCACACCTGCCATTTGTATTCAAACCAAAGCTCGTACCCGCCTCCATTGACGACCCCATCAAGCTTTGAAGAAAGCAGCCGATACCAAGAACTTACGAACGGGAAAAACAATCCATGCCCATCTCATCGTTTCTGGTGAACCTTCCAAATCCGTTGATATATTTCAAGCAAACTCTCTCATCAACTTATATGCAAAATGTGACCAAGTTTCAATTGCGCGCCACCTGTTTGATTGTTTGCCCAAGAGAAATGTGGTTTCTTGGAGTGCCTTGATGGCGGGGTATTTACACAATGGGATGGCATTGGAAGTTCTTGGCTTGTTCAAGACAATGGTTTCAGTGGACGGGTTGTGCCCGAATGAATACATTTTTGCCACTATTTTTTCCTCTTGTTCTGGCAGTGGGAGAGTTGAAGAGGGGAAGCAGTGTCATGGCTATGTGCTGAAGTCCGGGTTGCTGTCTTATGAGTATGTTAAGAATGCACTTGTTCACATGTATGCCCGTTGTTCGGAAGTGGAATCGGCTATGAGGGTTTTGAACACTGTACCAGGTGGTGATATCCTTTCGTATAATTCAGTTATAAATGGGCTTTTAGAACATGGGCATGTAAGAGAAGCAATGGAAATGTTAGGCATGATGGTAAGCCAGTGCATGGATTGGGACAGTGTTACATACATTACTGTTTTTGGCCTTTGCGCCCGTCTTAAGGATTTAAGATTGGGTTTGCAAGTTCACGGACAAATGTTGAAGAATGATATAAAGTGTGATGTTTTTCTTAGCAGTGCAATGATTGACATGTACGGGAAATGTGGTAAGGTTTCGAATGCAGCAAACGTTTTTGATCGCTTGCAAGAACGGAACATAGTCTCTTGGACGGCAATCATGGCTGCTTATTTCCAAAATGGGTACTTTGAGGATGCATTAGGTGTGTTGTCGAAAATGGGAAACGAAGACATTCTTCCAAATGAATATACTTTTGCAGTCTTGCTTAACTCGAGTGCAGGTTTGTCTGCGCTAAGACAGGGAGACCTACTACACACCTGTGTTGAGAAGTCGGGTTTCAAAGACTATGTCATTGTCGGGAATGCTTTGATCAATATGTATTCCAAGTGTGGCAACATTCAAGCAGCAAATGAAGTTTTTTTGGATATGACATGTCGAGACTCTGTTACCTGGAATGCAATGATATCTGGATTCTCCCATCACGGGCTTGGCAAGGAAGCGCTAAATGTGTTTCAAGACATGTTGGCAGCAGGAGAATGTCCTAACAGTATTACTTTCGTAGGGGTTCTCTCTGCTTGCGCTAGTTTGGGTTTGGTGCAGGAAGGATTCTACTATTTGAACCAGTTAATGAAACAGATTGGCATTGAACCTGGCCTAGAGCACCATACTTGTATTGTGGGGCTCCTCAGCAGGTCTGGACAACTCGATCAAGCTGAGAAATATATGAGGACTATGCCGGTCAAGTGGGACATTGTTGCCTGGCGAACTTTGCTCAATGCTTGTCATGTACATAGGAATTATGGTTTAGGTAAGCAAGTAGCAGAGGTTGTTGTGCGAATGGACCCCAATGATGTGGGAACATATACGCTATTGTCAAATATGTACGCCAAGTCAAGGAGGTGGGATGGAGTTGTGAAGATCCGGAAATTGATGAGGGAAAGAAACATCAAGAAAGAACCTGGGGTGAGCTGGGTGGAGATAAGAAATACTACCCATATCTTTGTTTCAGATGATAACATGCATCCAGAGTCTAGTCAGATACATGAAAAGGTCGGGGAATTGTTGGCCAAGATTAAACCCTTGGGATATGTACCTGATATTGCTGCAGTACTACATGATGTGGAGGATGAGCAGAAGGAAGATTATCTTAGTTATCACAGTGAGAAGTTGGCTATAGCATATGGCCTCATGAAAACGCCTACAAATGCCCCCATTCGTGTTATTAAGAACCTGAGGATATGCGATGATTGCCATGCTGCCGTGAAACTTATTTCAAAAGTCACAAACAGGTTGATAATTGTTAGAGATGCCAATAGATTCCACCAATTTCAGGATGGGAGATGTTCTTGTGCTGATTACTGGTGATAACGGTGAAACCTTTAATCAAAGTGGATTACCAGAGAAGGAACATCTTATGCGTCATAGAGATCACTCCATGTAAGCATCCACGACAACCTAAGCATACAGAGCTTTCTTTGCAGAGGTCCGTGCCATGTAAGTAGTAAATAGTTTCTTAAAAAGATTATGAAATTCACACTCCTGTTCAATTTTTTTCAATGGTTAAAGATTTTGATTGAGTGTCTACCTTTCAGGTGAATACATCGGTTTCACATATAAATTGGGAACTAATCTTTTTTGCACTCAGACGATCATCTATCAGAATTGGAGCTCAGGTACTTTGTTTTATTTAAGGTAACTTTAACGAAAAGCTCCTAGTACTGTTTACTTTAACGAAAAACCACATTTTTACACTAAAAAGTCAATCCTGATACTATTCATTTTACCCTTTATTTTGTCCTTATCGTTAAAACTCAAAGTTTTCAAGTCATTTTCATTAGTTTTCAAGTCCTTTAATCATTTGTCAGCTTCCGTTGCAGATTCTATTCAATCAGAACAGCATTAAAGTTTCTTGTATGGTATCTGTTAGAAGTCAAATAAAATATGAGTTCTTTTTGTTCAAGTTTTCATTAGTAAGAAAGAATTATACTAAGACGTTAAAGAACAGAATACAGATGCATGAAATCTTATAAGCTTAACATAGAAGAAAAAAATGATTCAGCAAAAGCTGGCCTCCATAACTTTTACAAATTCTTTAAACTCTATCCTTCCATCTCCGTTTTCGTCAAAGGTCCTGATCATTTTCTGGCAGTCTTCTAGCTTTGATCCTTCCTTCAACCCCAATATGCGAAGAGCTCTCTGCAACTCCCTTGCATCGATAAACCCATCTTTGTTCTCATCAAACACGTCAAAAGCTTCTTTCACTTCCCCCAAGCTCGGCTCCTTCTCATCAAACAGCCCTGAAAGCTCATCGGAACTAAGCGTCTCCGGCAGTTGCTCACCTTCTGGACTGCAAAAAACTCCCAAGTCTCCCATCACCATATGCACATCTTCTCTTCTCAAACTCCCATCATCACCTCTCTTCTCGAAGGTCATCTGCAATCGCCTTGGCTCAGAAGCCGACTTCTTCTCATTCAAAACCTTTGTCGAGTTACAACAACTGTCTTGGGATTGGAGGAGAACAGACTGAAACCTTGAAAAAACATTCTGAACTCTACTTAAGCAGTTAGAAATCGCGTGCAACAAGATTGCATCGATCAAAACGAAGAAGGGTAATGTGTTCGAGTTAGAATTAGTCGACGACGATGTCTTCTCCATTGTAATAGAGTAGTATAGGCTGAAAAGCATGGATGTTAGATGTAAACAGCAGAAACTAGAAAACCAAGTTAGAGATCTCTTTGACAAAGCTAATACAAAGGGAGAAAAGATTAGGGTGTTGATTTACATTAAGGATCTTACTTGTGGAGGGAGAGATAGGTAGGGAGGTGTTTTATAGGGGACCAAAGATTGAGTCTTTCTGTTTGAAGCCATCAAATCAAAACTGGTCAAGCCCCGGAATATCAAGGAAGTTGCTTGTGAGTTGCTGATGCAGGTCTTTGGGAAGATATGGTGGAAAGTTGATGGAGATATATGGTCACCTTAGAAATTAGGCATTTGGCATAATGTATGTTGTGTGGAAGTTTCTATGTTTTTTGTGAAGGGAGATGTGGTGGGTCCGGCTGGACTGCATTTCTTTAGTCTGTGTCCTTTTGGTGGAGTACAGATCCTCTCCGGATCTAAAAAATTGAGTCTAAGGATCAAATGATCCGGGTCGTTGAAATTTGATCAAATGACTACAAACGGGATGCCTTTCTAAAATTATAATAATTATAGCCGTTGGATCAAATTTTAACGGTCCGGATCATTTGATCCTTAGGCTCAATTTTTTTAGATCCGTAGGGGATCTGTACTCCTTTTGGTGTATGTGGAGATTGTGTGTTGGGGAATCAGACGGCTGGTTGACTAGTTAATCAAATAGGAAATAGAAAATGAAAAGAAATCTCTTGAAGTGGGTTTCTTGGAAATTAGGGTCTGGTTAGGGCGGCTGTTGGTTCACACTATTTGCCATTCAATTTCCGTGCACTGATTTTTTTAAGAAAAGTAGTTGCTCATAACAACTCTTCTTACTTTCCTGCTAATTGGGATATAAAAATGTGTTGACAAATGAGTTATTTTTGCATATTTGTCAACTTGTGATTTGATATAATGAGCATACTTACCGGCTAATTGCAATCGATAATTTTTTTATTTTTTGGTGAGTTACTTCTGCATATATGCTGCTTACATTTTTAGTGTTATTTTATTTACTCTATGCAATTTGCAAAGGAAATGATATTTGCATGCCCTTTTTCTCCACACTGTTTATTTTAGTCAATGAGACTTTTTTTCGAAATATTTTATGGTGGTTTTACTTTTCCCATTTATCTTAGGAGAGATTTTTTAGTGTGCGAGAAGCACTGCTTAGTCCACCAAGTCTAATGATACAATTGATTAGAAAATTGAAAAGAAAAAAAAAATTTGCTACCAATTGTATTTAGACACTTGGTGTACCGAATCATGTTCCCGGCACACTGAAAAATCAAATGTTATATATGTGAAAAGTCAATTATGGACTCCTTAGGAAATTCCAAGTTACTTAATTCGTTGGTAAAACTGTAAAAGTTGTGGAAATTGTAATTTGAGTGTGGCCTTGGAATTTTGAAGTTTCAAAGGCATTTTTCCATGTTGATATTTAGTCGTTGCACGTTCCGCACACGTTTGGTTTTGCTAACGTGCGAGAAGGATCCGGTAGTTTTTACGTTCAATCAGGTTCAGGCCTCCTCTTCATTTGGGCCTGAGGCCCAATATGTAGGCCCAGTAGTTATTGGTTCAAGGATCATACTCCCCAATTTCTCAAAACCCATATCGCCAAACATGATAAGACGTCTACCACTAAAAGTCCCATACTTGGTCTAATGTTGAGATTAGGTCTGACAAACTGATCGTGCTTGTCGTGTTCATATTGTTTGCGTGTTAATGAGCTCTTAACAGGTAACCCAATGACAATCTGGCTCGTTAACAAGTAGTGTTGTTTTATGTTGAGTTAATGGGTCATACAAGAAATTATCATATTTAATATTTAGACTTTGCAAACGGGTCGTGTTCGTGTCATTTACCTGTCATACCTATTATCTTAACTGGTGACCAACCGATTCATTAATGTGTTCTTCGAGTGACTCGATAATGTCCCAATTGATAACAGATTGACCTGAAATATATTATTTTCGTATTATTTTATGTCAAGTTAACAAATGATATAAGAAATTGTCACACCCGATATCTTAACTGTCCATTTTTTGCTTATTTCTTCATCACAGTCAATGTCAAATATCCTCGTTATTTGCTCTTTTCAGCAAAAAGGTCAACTTTTTTTTTTTTACTTATCCATCAGTATTCATCACTACGTCATTAGAGTGTAGAAGTAAAATTATTGTATTCACTCTATCATTCATAACATTTTTAACCAAAAAAATAAAAAGAAAACTAACGAAAAATCCAAAAAAACTTATCTTTTAATGAAAAATCATTTTTAAAAGTATAATGAATAGTGACAGTTAAATATAAAAATGTGATTTTTCATTAAAAGTGAATAGTACCTGAAGTGTTTTGTTAAAACTCTCAATAATAAAAGCAAAGCATACACATTCAAATTATAACCGTTTCAATAATTTTTCTTCAATAGCAGAAAACACGTTACGGAATATGAATGATTGAGATTGAACCGATATTGAAAAAAAAAAGACAAATAGTACAAATGTTCAAAGAAAAAAATGGACAAAGTAATTAGAAATTACCGTTCAGAACTAAAATTTAGAAAGTAAAAAGTAAAAAGTGAAAACAAATGACATTATTTTTCTTGCCACAAAAGTTTGATCATCTTAGTTGGGCTGAGGAGGAGGGGCAAAGATATACCCTGTTCTCGGGTTCACATTCGGCTCTGGATCTGCGTAATCCATCACTGTGATCATCCTCCTCGATTTTCCATCATTTTCCTGAGAAACAAACAGAAAATTGATTAAATAAAAAAATTTAGTACCCAACAAAGGTGAAGGGACAAAGACTCTTTTTACCTTTGAGACTAGAACTGAAGAATCTTCACCATGCTCAGCAGTCTCCATCAGCTTTCTCCCAAATCCTTTAAAAACAAAACCAAATTCAGAATCCGCTTTTCGGGAATCGAAAAAAATATTGGGATATGATTTCCGCACGCTTATTTTTATTTCTGCACACTACTTTGGGAATAAGCGTGCGGAAATCAGTTCTCAGAATATAAAGTGCTGCAATGAAACAGTATAAACGTTACAGTGTGAGTTGCTTACCGTGAGAGGAAAAAAGAGCGAGAAGGGAAGAAACCAAGAGAAATCTCAGAAACCATCGGCGACCCATCTTTTCCTGCAGAATTCTGGGAATTGGGTAGCTCTCAGAATTCTGAAAACGACTTGGGATTTGATGAGATTTGAGGAAGAAATGCCGAAAGGCTGGAATGAGCTTTCAGATCTGATCACAAGAGAGTTAAATTTTGGAGTGTAAGGAGATTATTGGCTGGGGATAAAGGTGCACAGAGGTTGATACTTTCAAGAACCCTATTTATACTCAACCACCTGAGGAGGTCAGAAATTATGCATTACTGCCCGAAATTAAAAGAGAAATCTAGAGAGGATAAGAAATGATAGGGAGATTATCTCGAAGTGGGATTGATTATTTGACATCTCACAGTTTAACGTTAATAGTTAATGTTCTACACTTGTTTTGTTTGTGGTTATCTCATTAATTGACACATGCTAAGAGTATGACAATAAAGTTAAAAATGATTAAACACGTGACAATTAATTATAGAGACCACACACAAAATGAATACATAAGATTTAAACTCGGAATTAAGTCGGTGAGTTGAATAATTAATCAAATTAATTAGCTTCATACAAAAAAACCGAGACACTATGAAAGTTGACTTCTTTTATTTGTTTTCAATTTCAGGAGATTAATTAACATGGATAAGTTTGCTTATTATTAGTAAGCTTCTCAGGTAGTGAAGGAAAATGGAGATTAATCTTTCATATGATCACCATTAAACCTTAAAATAAAATGGGAACTTTAACGAAAAGCTCCCGATATTATTCGCTTTAACGAAAAACTACATTTTTATCCTAAAAAGTGATTGCAAGTGAGATTATGGATTTTAATCAGCTCCACACGAGTTAACCCACATTAATGCCCCATGCTTAGCCCATTCCATTTTTAATCTTCTTCACTGTTGCCAAGGTTCTTCTTTGTCCTTTAAGCCTTTCACTTTCTTAAATCTACTTAAAATATGGTGGAAAATGACTTCCATGTTACGGGAATATGTCAATGTAGTTGTATCAAGTTAATCGTGCAATATCATTCGGTAAAGTTAAAACGTCTGTATGGTTGTTTTGAGATACTGTCATAATAACATGATCATCCAGACCTATGTCAAGTTAATACTAATCAAACTTAAAATTTCTCATAATTAAACGGGGGAAGCCATTGGTGTTTCCACTAATAAACTCTATATATTTCTTGCTTTCCAGGCAAAGTGAAGCTTCGACCTCCCTCTCAGCGGATTAGTTTACTGTTTACAGCTTAATGACTTGGAAAGAACCAGACAAATCATAGTACTCCCAAATGAGTTGACATTACAATTCACAAATCTCAATGATCTCTAATCAACACTCCAAAGCTACTTAACATATTAGGTAAATTAGACTGTCTTCTTTAAATTTTTCTGAGAGTAAATTGTAGCAATAGTCCCTCAACAAAAAATTCATTATCATTGGTCTTTCAATTCATCAAAACGTGCAGCTATAGTCCCTCAACTAAAAATCTATTACTAATGATCCCTCAACTTTAACCCAATTTCAGCAATGGTCCTTCCAACATAATTCATTTTGACAAAATTTTGACGAAGTTAACAATAAAAATCATAGATACACGTTTTGATGAGTTGAGAGACCAATAGTAATGAATTTTTAGTTAAAAGATTATTGCTTCAATTTGATTAAAATTGAGCAACCATTACAACAATTTACTCTTTCTTTGAATGTATGTGGTGGGGGTGGGAGCGTGGACAAACCCACTGCTCGTATTGAAAGTTTTTCTACTCAAACTCAAACAAATTTCCCTTTACGAATTTAAGTACAAACTGATAACAAAGGGAAAGAGGGGGACCAAGAAAGCTCACATGCATGGGGTCCCAACTCGAAGACCAGCAAACTCGAGCCATCCAAAAACTGGTGGTCAACCTTTCTCTAAAAATACCCTAAGCCTAAAAAGTATCACAAAATGTTCTTTGTTTGCAGTCACACATTTTACTTTTGAAGATTTCGTTGCTATGTCCCAAAACGTGACATGATTTACTCCCAAGTACAAATCCAACCATATG